AATAATAATAATAATAATAATAATAATAATAATAATAATAATAATAATAATAATAATAATAATAATAATAATAATAATATAGTACAAGTGCAAGGCTCTTCTAGTGCAATATAAAATGGACTTATGACTTTTTGAAGTTGCTTCACCAGGAGAGCCTCATTGAATAGACTCGTGTTTTTAAATCCCAACCCCCCACTCTCTTTTGGTTTAGCCACTCTATCCCAAGTCATCCAATGTATCTTTCTGACACACTCACTATTCCTACCCCACTAAGAACTGACAATCTCACTGCAAATGGATTTACACACAGCGACAGGGATTTTGAAGCAAGACATGACAAAAGTGAGGAAGGCATCTAAAATAGACTTAATAAGGACCTCCCTCCCAACTTCTCTAAGGAAGTTGTCTTTCCAATTGCACACTCTCTGCTTCACTCTCTCGCTAACAAACTAAAATATTTCTCTCTTGTTTTTTCATATCCCAAGTGGAAGGCCTAGATATTTTGTAGTCTTCACTCTAGATATTCCATGTAAAAGATGACAGATATCAGAGGCAACTTGATCAGAAGAATTCTTAGAGAAGAAAATCGAAGATTTGGGCATATTAACCAACTGACCAGAAGCACTACTATAATCATCAAGAATTTTCAATAGGACAGGCACGAGCAAAGAATAGATGAGTAATCATGGGAGTATGCTTGTTGAGTTTAATACCATGAAATTCATCCCCGACACTAGCTAGCTTGTTTCAATAAAATTGAAAAATGCTTCAGATATGATGATGAAAAGGTAGGGAGACAAAGGATCTCCCTGCCTGAGGCCTCTAGTAAGAAGAACATATCCAATAGCAAATCCATTAACATTAAAGGAAAATGATGTAGAGCAAATGCAAGCAAGAATCCAAGAAATGAATTTATCAGCAAATCCCATCTTCATACAGACTTTAACAAGAAAATTCCACTCCAACCTGTCATAAGCCTTTGACATGTCAAGTTTGATAGCCATATAACTATCTCTACCCTTTCTTTTGTTGTTTAAATAATGTATGTACTCATTCGCAATGACAACATTATCAATAAGTTGTCTGCTTAGGACAAAGACAGACTCAAATGGGAAGACACAAATTAAGAACTTATTTCAATGGAAGTGATTTAGTAAACGACATAGCATAGGCTAATTGGTCTAAAGTTAGAAACTTTATCAAGATTGTTTTTTCTTGGAAATTAGTGTGATGGTGGTGTGATTGAGTTCTTTAGGCATTTTTGCCTTTCTCAAAAAAGTTCTGAACAACCACACAAAGATGGTTTTTAATAGTAGGCCAAGAGGATTGAAAAAAGAAGGCAGTCCGCAGTCCGCCCATCATTCCCAGGAGCTTTCAGGGGTTCCATACTCATAGAACATTTTCAATTTCAGCCTCACTAACATCCCTAATCAGTCTCGAGTTCATCTCCTCACTAATGGATCTAGAAATACCCTCAAGACTACAATTATCAACTAGAGGATTAGAAGTTCTAAAGAGATTAACAAAGTAAGCAGTGAGCTCCTATAAAGTTTCTTGTTCAGATTCACATCTACCCCCATCAGCTTTCCTCAGATTACCCAAAGAGTTCAAAGTTCCCCTTTGTCTAACACTTGCTTGAAAAAACCTAGTATTCTTATCCCCTCAGCCAACTAAAGAACTCTAGATTT